ACTTGCGCCCCATAGAACGAGTCCATAATAAATATTTGTTGTGACATAACCATAATAAGCAGACAATGTCACTTTAAGAGACGTTTTTAAAGTTAATCATCTTAGCGCTATTTATTTAATTACATACCCTCTGAACGTGGGTTGTAAAGTTCAGACTTTTATTTAATAATATTCCCAAGAATGAACTGACAAGTTCTTTCAATGATTTTGACGTTATGCTTCACATTGAGATTATAAACTAGGCGTCCTTTTGTCTTCATCACCAGCCATTATACGTCCCTACTGCAGGGGCTCAGACCTTCCTTATGGATGGTTAAGGAGGATGGCCCAATGCGGATTGGAGGATATTAATGACTGCAAATGCAGCCAGGACCAACAGTTTAACGTGCCTTCCGAAGCACGGGAAGCTCGAGATAATAATTTTTGATCACCCATCCCGTGACTGGCCCTTGCGAAAGTTGCTTAACGACTACGATCGCGGGCCGCGGCGCTTATCCACTACACCACCGAGCTACTCACTATCTTTTATCTTAAAATTAACATAATTAGTCTTACATAAATAAACATTCAAATTATGTGTATTAAGATATTGAATTCTATTATTGGTTGTTTCAAAAGGATAAAATTTAATAATAATGAAAATATCGTCAGTAAACATAAAAAATTGGGTTTTATTCACTTCTAGGTTTTTAGTCATTGTAAAAATAATATTGGTCCCAATACGCTCCCCTGTGGTACTCCGAATTTATTAACTTTATAATTTGATCCAGCTGCTACAGCGGAGCTCATCGTTTACCTGTCTTATTCTATTAACTTCTACGCATCGATACCTGTCATTCAGATATGTTCACAACCACGACAGACAATTTCCACGGATTCCATACTTTTCCACTTTGTTTATTAATATATCATGCACTACTAAATTGAATGCCTTGGACATATCGAAATAAGTGCTGCAGTACACTGTTTTTTATCTAGAGCCAGTATAACATTCTAAATCAAGTTAAAGCACGCAAGAAAAGTAGATTTTGCTTTCTGAAAGTCACATTGTTCTGATGTTATTAAATTGAACTTTGAATAAAAACTCACTAATCTTTTTTACGTAGCTTTCTTAAATATTTTTGATATTACAGGTATTGATGTAACCGGGCGATAGTTCTCCACTGCTTGTTTATCTTTTTTTTTAGAAGGGTATTAACAATCGAGAATTAGAGAGAATCAGCAAACACCCGGTTTATGGATAAATTTATCAAAAAAGTTAAGACATGTGTTAACTCATATTTACAGAATTTCAATAATTTCGTTGATATTTCATCATACCTGAAAGAATTGGAGTTATTAAAAGACTATATTATGTTTACTAGTTCCACCCCCGTTACCGGCTCCAGAAACATCGATTTACAGTTGTGATCAACAATGAATAGTGTTTTTTTTTTGTTTTTTATTGCTATCATACCTATCACCATTAAAAGTTATGTAGTAATCATTGAATATTTCAGCCATTTCCTTTCCATCAAGAATTAGATCACCTCTATGCCTTATACTAGTAATGTAAGATTTTGGGATTTCCGATTCTGTTTCATCCGTAATAAGTTTCCAAGATGCTTTACAAAATTTTTGACTGCACTGGAGATACTCCTCATTTGATTTTTTTTGAGCTGTCAATATGCATTTTTTGAGCATACGTGAGTATCGTGTAGCTGCCTGCCTGCTTATTATCACTAATTTTATGTTTATAATATTTAGATCGAAGAAATCTTTACACTCTGAAACTAACTTTTAAACCCTTTGAAATTAAATTTAGTTTTTATGATTTTATTGTTAATTTCAATTTTTGGAAAACAACGCAAAAGAGCTCATTAAAAACATTAAATGCCTCATTTATGTTAAGTGTATTGTAAACATCTGAGTATGATTATGATTGTAAGTATTCTCGAAACTTTATTAGGTTTTCATTACAATAAAAAATCCTATTAGAACTTTGCTTCAGGCACCGTTTTATCGCACTAAGCATGATTTATTATAATACAATTCTTATTTTATGATATCTATTATATTAGCAAATTTACTTTAGCCGATATTAAGATGAAAGTAATATAATGTTTTATTTGGCCAATATTATTAATATTGTGTCCGTATATATAACTTATCTGAATGCCCCTAATTGTTAATATAGATATTATCTTTATATAATATACGTTTTTCCATGACGTTTATAGACACCAATAATAATATAATTAGGTTGATAAGAAAACAATTCAATCATTCATGTAATCTAAGATTATGTTATAAATCACCATATTAAATAATGTTAACGAAGACAAAATTCATTATTTATATAGGTACTAGATAAGGGAATCAAGAAATTAAACGCAGTAGGTATAGGCACAGACTGACACAGTAAGTACTATCCATAGAATAAGTAAGAAACTACCTTTTTAGTACTATTGATGGTCAATATACACCACTGTATTGTTCTAATCAGTGGATTTAGAAGATTTTTCGTTAAATTAAAAATAAATATAATGACTAGTTCCAATTGTTATCAATTTAAACAAATAAAGAATTCGGAAATCTAAAATAAATCCTATACCTAGTTTCAGGATATGAATTTTCAGTATCTAAAGTCAATGTATAATAGATGAAGCAAAAATTAAATTAAGCGGACTTGTTTGCAAAAAATAAGCGGACAGAGAAGGCCCCTGCAGTGGGGACGTAAAAGGGCTGATGATGATGATGAATTATGTTTAAACTATACTGTTCAATTTTGAATAATATTACCAATGAAACTGTGACATTCCATACAGTGGCTATTCATCGGATATTCGATTATTTTTACTAATTGAGTAATAATAAATGTCAGGAGTAAGGAGTCTCCTCTGACCGGGGGCCCCTTCCAGCTGAGGGTCCGTGGCATTTTATCGACTTGTCACCTTGTTGTTATGCCACTGATTCCATAGATACTTCAATAGCCTTCTTGCATGAAACCGATAGGTTGCTAATTATGATTGAACAACTTATTTGTTCTATAACAGCAGTCTCTATTAGGCAACCTTAGACTAAAGATAATCCACTAAAAATTGAAACACCTTATATTGTTTCTAAGTTTATAATAAATATAGCTTTTAACAAATTTGTAAAAGCACAAATCGGGTAAACAATTAAAAGCTATTAACACAAAAGAGGGAAGTTTCTAAATGCCTTCCCGATGGATAAAACAATTCGAACCAAACTTTCTAGGGATAAACTGAACTGAGTGACGCAAAAAGTACCAGACAAAGAATACAAAAGGAGGTTTAAAAATACATCCAGTCCAATTAATTAGGGACAATTAGCCCCTCTTCGTAACAAAAGGTAGAAAAAGTATACTCATTAATTAAAGGTAAAGAGGGCGAAACGATTCTCTCCCCTTTGTTTTGGAGCTATTTGAGGATGGGGTTAACTCTGCGGATTCTCGATATTATTATTATCTACGTTAGAATAATAGGGATGTACAAATAAAATGGATGATTCGAAATTGGAAGCGCTTAATAGAATCAAGATTTAGGTGAAGTGGGTAAAGTCCATTACGTTAAAAGAATTAGCCATCGGTCAAGCACGAGCTGATTTTTCAGATGAAAGGGTTACGTAAGCAAGGAATCAAAGGGAACAGGAAATTGACTAAAATAAAACTATTTTTTAATAAAACCGTGACAGTTATTTTTTAATCAAAATGCTACCGTCATCTAATGACAGTCAAATGAATATATCTTCTAATTTTTTTATAAAAACCCAATTAACAAATTGACAGTTCTTAAAACTTATTTCGATTTTTTTTTATTTGTGAGGTTAATTGAGAAAATTTAAAAGAAGAACCAAATATAAAACTCGTCACTCTAAGAGATCGTCACTGGGAAATTGACTGACATAGGTATGAAGAAAAATAACCGAATATTGCATGTAATAATATGAATCATTGAAATTACTGCTACTGGCTAAGGGATAAATTGTACGAATAATTTAACAATAACTCGAGGAAATTCATTATCTAAGGATCTACTATTGTCCACTAATGAAAATTGCAAATCTTTAATATGATATCGTTAAATCATATCATGTCATTTCCATAACGGGTTCCATCATGAAATATCGAAAAATGGTTTCTTTGGAGATATATCAGCGTTTCGAAAATATACGAAATTTCGTTTTAGAGGAAGGCTTTCAGTTTACGGATTCGTTTGAGTTATTTCAAAGTGTATCAACAAACAAAGAATAATGTAAAAATTAATTTCAGTATTCCATTTTAGGTATATATACCATTCTTCATATTTGGTTAATTACCGCTATGTACCAAATTTACTCAATTGCTCAATCTATTGTATCGGGGCAAATCATCTGAGACAGACGGACAGGCAAACAGGAAGAATGGAAGAATTCTGCAAGGGTTTTTTTTTCATGCCATATAGGAACCCTAAAAAAAATGATAAAGCATAAATTGCCACTCACCACTGATACTTCATCACCAAAATAACACTTAATTAATGTAACACTCTTAAATCACTAGTAAAATGTATGATAAAAGCCATAAGCGATTTAAGTGTATACACACCTATCGATTATCTTGACATAGCTTTCAGCCAACAGATAACGCAAGCATAATAACATCATTGATATAAAATAACACTAATTAAACTAACTAATAATAAAATGTATTCGGAAACATGCGTAAAAATCTGAAATGAATTCACAAAAGCGATTGAGTTTTTTGAAAAAATAAAATCTTAAATATTCTCGCATATTATACATTAATCAATTTGATGTCCATGAAAATTTTGAGGTGAAATTAGACTTCATTTATAGCATTAATTATTATACTTATTAATTAAATAACTTATAAGCGGAACCACAAAACACAACTAGCGATAATAATCAAAAACATGTCATCACACCCATATAGAAAAAACATACGTATCTTTTGGCACTTTAATCGTACATAGATTAAAGAGTCCATTAAATAAGTAGCTATCAATTACCGTGGTTGTACTGATAATGTAATACCTCGATAACGAATAAGGCAGTACCATACAAACCGCCAGAATGTGCGCGTGTCGTCAGAAAAAGTCCTTTTTAATAGAAGATATTTTACAAGACTCTACGAAAAAGAAACCGTACAAAAACTTAACCCATGAACACACTGAGCCGCTGATATGTAACACCAAATTTGAGACACCAAAAAATGTACCAGAAAAAGCAAGAAACGCAACAGACGATAAAGTGACAAAATTTAATGTAACATATGAAGTTCAAAGGGAAGTTCAGTTGAACAAAGTTAATGTAGAAAACAGGAGAAACACTTACCCTTTATATCCAACACCAATGAAAGTGAGCGTACCCTGGTCGCCGTATAAAACAAAGGACCCAGTAGTATACCCTATGGAACACCGACCTCCATTTAGTTATTACAGCGAGCCATTACTAAACACGGAACAAATGTTGAGAAATCAGCTAGCTGCTAATAGATTTGTGTCTCATCCGTTTACGATACGACAGACTTATGGGCTTGATAGAGGTGAGATTTTTTGTCAAAAGCTTTAGTTAATAACTTATCATAACATCACTTACAACAATTTAATTGATAGCGAATGGTGACGTCATGGCGAATTCGATATTTTCGGGTCCCATTAGGTGCGGCTTATCAGTTCTATGACTCTAATTGAACACAGATACAACGATAAAAGAAATGAATCAACACACTAAATTTATTGGGCATAAAGTATAAATAAAATTACTGATAAAAAGCACTTGACAATCTAGAGAGATACGACTTTTTAAATAAAAAAAAAATTTGGTCGATAAAGTAATCCTTATAGCGACTTTATCTCTTATCGGTAATTTTAAGCAATAGCAATTCGCAAAAAACGCTATAATTATTATCAGCCACCAAAAAAAATATCTACAAAAATCTAATGAGTAATTTTACTTACTATGATTGATTTAATTGATTAAAAGAAGGATTATTATAAGAAACAGGACGAGCACAGCTTTATTTTAAATAAAACGATTAAAAAAATATAATAAAAAACACCGGCTGCGTGAAAAACAACCAACTGAAAAGACTAAAACAAGATAAAAAAATTATGCAACATTATTACCCATATTGTAGTATTTGAAAGAAAAAAAATAGTACAATAAGACAAATCTAATGATACCTCAATTATAATCCGTTCAGCGGGTTACATACCTACATACATTCAAGATACAGGCGAAACACATAACCCTTCCTTTGCAGCTGGGTTTTTACCCAGGGTTTTTACCCAGCTGCAAAGGAAGGCTAAATCTAAATATAAAGACTAAAGACATATAAGAATAATATAAAGACGAAAGACTAATTCTAAATATAAAATACTCTACAAGCACTGACAAACCTATACCTTCGCTTTGCAAAGCAACATTATTTTCTTTAATGTTAGGTACTGAAAATAATCTTGTAAGATTAATCTAACTTTAATAGTTATTAGCCATAACTAAAATAAACTTACTTTCCGCCAACGAATTCGCCTTTATGTTCCTATATTATACATTCTTCTTGTATCCAGTGGCGTAGCTAGGTAACCCAGGGCCCTGGGGCAAATAAAAAAATGGGGCCCACTGCTATCAAAACTGGTAAGATTTTTTGAAGTAAAATCTTTTAATATAAAAGTACTTTAAAAATGCTAAGCAACTTTATCATCAGGTCTTTTTCGTGCATGGGTTTATTATATACTAGCTTATGCTCGCGACTTCGTCCGCGTATTATAGTAACTCTGAGCAGCATTTCTAACAATATATATTTATACAATATATCGTTTAAAAAAACCTGAAATAATGTTTCATCCCCTATTTTATCTTCTTAGGGGTGGAATTTATCAAATCCTTTCTTAGGGGATGCCTACGTCATAGTAGCTTTATGCATACAAAGTCTAAATTTGACAGTTTCATACAAACTTTCATCCTCTTTGTTATCCCCTTGGGGGAAGAATTAATCAAAATCCTTTCTTAGTAGATCCCTACGTCATAATATCTACCTGTATGCCAAATTTTAGCCCGATCCGTCCAGTGGTTTGAGCTGTGCGTTGATAGATTACTATGTCAGTCAGTCACCTTTGAGTTATATATATTTAGATTTATTTATTCATAGATACGTTGCACCAGCTTACTGTTATTTAACCTATGGCCATGCAAGCTATTTACAAAATTTATCAATAAAAATATTTTGTCCAGAAGTACTTGCAGAAGGCTGACTAAAAAACTTGTCAATTTTGGTCAATTTTTGTTTACTTTCTTCTCTTTCTTGGCGTTGTTTGCTTTTAAATGCACCACTGGGTTTCTTTATTTTTTGTCCATAATATTAGTTTTCTAATTTATTTATGCAATATTTATGTAAGATTGTACTCAAGTAGGTACTCACTGTTCACTGACAACGTTACAAGTAAAAGGAAAGCGAAACGTAATGATACGATACAAGACGTCGTTGGGGAATCCCCGGCAAACATTTTATCGCCGCTAGTGTTACCACATTTGACGGTTTCAAAAAACATCACGTAATTAAGCGGCCCCCTTCCGCATGTGACTTGTATTTTTCACGGTATTTTGAGTTATATAGTGAGTAGCCGAAATCTATAGACGTAACTATGTATACGTACTATAATCAAATAAAATTGAACTTTTGTATGGACCAGTACAAAAAATTTATTGACATACGTTTACTTGCTAAAAAAATCTTGACTCGAAGTTCACAATCGCGAATCACAAAAAGGCATATCGATAAATAATAATATGCAGATATTGATATCCGACAAATTGATGAAAACATTAATAACACTGTCAACCCACAGAAATAATTTAGGGGAATTCACTTTTTATAACTTTGGAATTTCTCACAACTGAGTTGCCATGATTAAACTCGAGTTGTCACGTGTCATATTTATTTTGAAAATGGGAGAAATTTTCAAAAGTTAGAGTTCGATTGAGATTTTCTGGTAAAGATTCGAGGGCCCCCTGAGCTTGAGGGCCCCGGGGCACTGCCCCGCCTAGCCCCTTAGTAGCTACGCCACTGCTTGTATCACTCCCTGTATATTGATGAAAACCGCAAAACATTCCATTGTGTAAGATCTCAGCAAACAGATAGCGGGATGCTACTTTGTTTTATTTACAAAACAAAAAACGTGATTATTTTAACTTTTGTTAATGAACGGAACCCTTCTTGCGCGAGTGGTCTCGCACTTGCCCAGTTTTTATACATTGACCTGAATCATAACAGGGAACTCAGAAATAGAGCTTGATACAGGTGTGTGAGCTTCTGATATTAGTGTTATATAAATAATTGACTAATGAGGCAATGTTAATTATATCAAATGCAACTTTTAGATTCTTGTCTGACGGATTCTAGAATCATATTATTAATCATTTAATGATTAGATATATCTTAGCAATTCAATATTCTTAAGAGATATTTATTGCATAGATTTAAAAATAAGTAGTTTACTAGATAACAAGAGTGATTAGCTTAAACCGCTGGTCGTCCACACTTGAAATTTAGAGGGTAGATTTGTCTCATTATTTATAAATGTACGAAGAACTGATTTTTGGACATTCCACCCCGAAGGAGAACAAAAATGGTAAAAATGTTTGTATGAAACTTCTTTGTTTTTGGGCCTATATTGATTTGGGTAGTTTACGATCCAAGGAAGGTAATAAAAGGTTCATTTTTTTTTAGAGGAAATAAAATGTTACCATTCAAACCATTTTTAACAATTGATGCTTTGCTTGTGCAAGACTCTACGCCTGATCCTCAAATAACTTGACGGTCCTCTTGTTCTTGCTTTCTCCATTCAGAATTTTTATAGATTTTAGTGCGTGAATCCAAATTGAATTTTGCCGACGGATATTTCTGCCATCTCTTCAATTTGTAGGTATCGAATTGTCCACTCAGTATTTTGTTCGCCCAATTTATTACTTAAGTCTGATAGGATAGATAATCCTGTTTTCGTCCAATTAGTGGAGTGGTAAAATATAGTCAGTCTATTTTTAATTATTGTATAGTTTTTAAGAGTCAGATTAATTGTTTTTATATATATTTAAATACTAACATGAAACTGGCGATTTTAACGGTTTTCATGCAAAAATCTAGTTTTCATCCACCTGCTGCCCTGTTTTCGACCTATTTTTACTCCCCTTTTAAGCTCATTAGGCAATAATTTTCAATAAAATACGGAACATGTCTTCCATAAACTCTGTTAAAGAATTCTAATGCAAAATTTGAAGTAGAGCGGACCAAGAAATCTCTTTGTCCCTTATAAATTTTGACCCCGTTTTTCATCCTCTTAGCGATAGTATTACGGGAAATCCTTTCTTACCGGCTGACAACTTCACACAAGAAATACACCCTAGAGGATTCAGGGCTCTATGACCAGCGGTTTAGGCTGTGTTAATCCATCGGTTAGTCATTCAGGACAAAAAAAAAATATGTATAAAAAATCAGTCCCCGTAGCAAATAAAGAACAAATAAAACGTTAATAATAAAATATAAATAGTTTTTGATTCATTATTAATTTTTATAAGTCTTTCTAAAAAGTAACCATAGAAATATATGTTACCTATCAAAAATAAATAAAATTTCTTGTGTATCACTGTTTTTGTAAATAATTTAGTACTAAATAATCACCTGTTGATATTATTTTACATTTCAAAGCGATTTCCGTAGTCATTCCTCTTTTTATGGTCTCCAAATTCCAATAATATATATACTGTATACTCATCAAGTTTTGTATAACTTTTACTTAAATGTAAGGAAAATGGTCGGGAACTGGAACCTCTAAAAGCTCTACATACAATTTCCGTCCAGCACTATACCTATATCAGATTATATTTAAAAAAATATATGACGACATCTGAACATTGATTAATAATTGTCACTAGAACTTATATAATGAAATTTAATTTAAAGCTCCATACATTTTAAAGCAATTAAAATTTTTAATTGGACTTTGAATTTTAGTTGTTATTTAAATAACTACTACCTACTTAAAATACTGTTTCCTACCATTAGTAGCTCATTTAAAGTATTTTTTTGGTTTTTAATCATTCATAATTATCGGCAGCTTAGTACATTTTTCGCAAATTTGTAGAGCCAACTTAAGTGCGATAGTTTACCTATTAATTTAGTTAGGGGAAGTCCCCGAACCTCTTTTTACTTGAATTATCATATCTTCGTAAAGATTTGTCGTAGAGACTAGATTATAATTTTAATTCATGTGTAATTTATATAGACTTGTTTTTGCATTATTATTTTTTAAATATTTCAATTCTGTAAATTGCGAGGAAACTCATTATCAGGAGTTTTAGTAATTTCTGTTTTTTTTTTAGTATCATCTTTCTATTAGAGTCTTTTGCGTAGTTTTGCTTTCATATATTGATTATTTGGAATTGTAACTTATCGTTATTCTCAAAAATTATAAAAACTATTCTAAATGTTATTTGTCTTCTGTTCACTTATTTTATTAACATTTATAATATTGAATTGAGTGCAAGTAGTATTATGGCAGAAGAATCATCACCACAGATGGTATAATTAACCACTGATGTCTTCAACAAGAACGGTGGTTCAACTCTCCCGCATACATCACTTCGACATAAAATTTTCATTGCAGAAAAGATATTCAATTACTGTTAAAAAAAAATTAACATACTTCAAACTAGAATAGGCTTGTGTCCTACAAGTGAAAATACAGGTTTTTGTTATATCTTCGAAAAATATGAACCATTTTAACTTATAAATGTTTAACAAAACAAATTTTAAGTCACTGATTTGGAAAATTTTACGCTTTGAAAACTTGAAAAAAGTAGAGAAAATCTACTACAAAAATTTGCTAAAATACATAAGGCATTAAATTAGATATAAAAAATGTTACAACTTTCATTATAATAGCTACAAACATAAACGCACAAATAACAAAGATATTACAAAAATTATCCAGACGCCCATACATTTTTCGCTAGTGTAGCAACGTGTGACGTCACTGAGTGCCTTGAATTTGTAGGGAGCGTTTTCGGCCAACTAGCGGCAGTTCTACAAACACAGCACCGTATCTCCGAAAGTATGAATCGCAGACATGCTGTTACTTCGACATTATTTCTCAGATGTTAATGGACTATTTATTTATGAAATAAAAAAAAAAAGTTGTCAACTAGCCTATTATCAGCAAACACGATAAAAAAATATACAATACTTACATCGATAAACACGGCCAGTATCTCAAAACTACAAATTATTTAAAATTTATTTTGTAGTAACCAAAACACTTTTCGCAACTTAAAAGCTAAACAAACCAGGCATTTTGTGCAATAATGACACATACATTATTGGTCTTCCATACATTAGCTTGCAATTTACGTTGAATTTTGAGAAGTGGTTCAACTCTCCCATCTGGGCAAGTCTCCCGGACTCCCCCTATATATAAATACTACTGCTGTAACGTTTGAGTCTAAGGACAACCGTTTAGTTGGTAGTAAATTATTATGTAATACTAATAAGCGATAAGGAGAATCGTTTAATTATAATATTACTAATATTATACGTGCGAAAGTAGGTCTGTCTATATATCTCAGTTATGCTCTCACGCCTAACCCACAACGAGAGAGTTGACTTGAGATAGGACTTGGGTTGCTTTTATTGTGACAAAAGGGTTGAAATAAGGAATTAAAGTTTGTTAGTTCGTCACTGTCCAAGATAAAATCATGAAACTTTATTTCCGGCATTTTACATGATATAATTAATAAATATTCGTTTTAGAAATGCTGCCCAAAGTAACTACCTATATCATGCGGACGAAATCGAGGACAAAAGCTGGTGCTACATAAATATTTGAAACAAAACATGTAGGCCCACAAATCTGTGCCAAATCCAAATTGATTTCTCCTTAACTATTTACTAAAAGAGAGTTTGGTAAAAATGTTAACATCGACATATTAAATGCAGTTTCTGGGTCGTGTTGCGGCCCGTGGTGGAGTATAGGTGGGCGACGGAAAGGCGGGCAAGTCAGATTCAGTGCAGCGCAGACGGGAGCTCTGGAGCGTAGGTTCAATGCCAGCAAATACCTCAGCCCTGACGAGAGGCGAGGGCTCGCTTCCACGCTACGGTTGAGCGACAGACAGGTACGCCGCCTTTTAACATTGTTCAAAAATAAGTATTTTGAACAGTGTGTAAACATGTTTATTTGTCCGCGATTATATGTTGATAACTTAGTGGCGGAGAAAGGGGGAGGGGAGCGGTCCGCCCCAGGACTCTTATCCTAGGTTGCATCCAAGTGGCTGCAAGTTCCCTTGACCAAATTATAAATTGGGATTGTACTGCCTATCTATCTTTTGTCCAGTTTCGTAGTTTAAGCAGGCGTCTTAGCAGGGGCGGGGTTTGTAAAAGTTGTAGGTCCGAGCTTGATATCGCCCCGGGCCCCCGACGAGGTTAGCCCGCTACTGTAATCCATGTTGATGTTGACGACGAACCAATATTGGCGCGGTGTTTAGAAAAAAATACCTATTATTCACACATGGTTTTGGGATTAAACCATGTTTAAAAAAATGGAGATTCTCGGTTTGACCCGAATGTAAGTGTATATTATTAATAATAACTATTATAAAAAAATATATCTCCTAAAATAATGAAGCCCACGGGAAAGTAAAACTTGGTGAAGTTTGAAATCGGGTCTATTTTTTAATAAAAAATATACAGGTGTAGGGACTTTGAAATGTCGCAGTCTCTGAGAATCTAGACTCGATTAAAATAAAAAAAAGAGAAAGTTAACAGACATGCAAAGCGATTCTGTAAATAATTCGAACCCGAATTCGAATTCACTTCATTTAGTGTAGTGTAGTCTATTGATTACATTTTTGTGTCATTATAATACAAAGCGAGATTGATTGATTCATACGTGTGATAAATATACCTATGTTATTTCAAAACTCAATTCACTTATGGCACGAAATGTTATTACCAATTCAAAGTTGAGCAGATGCCGCTTTTGAAGAAAATCGGGCACCTGACTGAGTGAATTTGAATTCGGATTCGCATTTTTACTGAATCGCAGGGCTGCTGGGCTATTTTTTTAGACGGAAAGATATCTGTAAGGAGCATGCATTACCTAACTACGTATACATATTACATATTCATAAGACTTTTATAGTAAAGACGAAATTTTCAATAATGATATCACAATTCTAAATATCGTTAGACCATACTATTACGGGTATGATCTCCAATAGCTTACTTATGATTAATAAAGTTTTTGATACAGAAGAACAGTAGATTATTTGACCACAATCCGTGAACACGAAGTTTTATAGTCGATACTTTTTCATTGATCTTTCGTGAGTGCGAAGTGTAATAAAGTTGCTTATATTCCAGGTGAAAACGTGGTTTCAAAATAGAAGGGCCAAATGGCGTAGAACAGCCCCAGATTCGGCAGATCCTGGAAGCCCTCCGACCGCTGACGAAGGATCTGATGAAGAAGTCCACATCACCGATGAGTAACAAGAAAATTAAAAACCTAGTCAAGAAAATCTATAGCAATTTCACTGAAACGTACAATTGAAATATACTAATTTAAATAGGCGTTATTGTGTAGTTTTATTTTTTGTATTAAATGTGTGTATCAACTGACATATACCAACAGATGTTAGCAAAAGGAAATTATTTCATCACGTCATAGACACAACTAAATTTTAATCCTTAGCTATTTCTAATCCCGCCATTAGAGTACCATCAATGAGTATATACAGTAATAGATATGAAGAGTTCTCCATCCAGATCATACATGGCAAAACCAAAAGATACAGTAAGTTCATTCTGTTAATATTAAATTCACATTCCTTGCCGGAATTTATTTTGCAGTTTCTTCTCAGACAAGACTCCCAAATGTGGAACTGGTGATAAGTGTCGATTTATGGCAGAGCGGGGCTAGCAACAATTTTTTGAGGAGCCCTTGGTTTGCTTGAGATTTAATGTATAATTTAAATAAAACAGAATTCCTACATACACACTGTCCTTGATTTGTAACATTTCATTGTAAACATAACCGTCAATATTATTACGGTACGATCTTGATTTCTCCATGACAACCCTTTCGGTTTTTAATTTACCTATTTCGTGTTTAAAAGTAGATTAGTTTTCAAAACTCAATATACAACTCATATTCTATTTGTACTTTTTTTGTATTTGTATCTAAGTTTCGAACTTTTCAAATTTCAGTTTTTTAATATGTTAGTTAAAAGGAACGGAAATGACTGTCTTTGGTCCATTCGTTTCTTGCAAAAATCAACTTTTGCTAGAGTCGCCATCTAGTGGAGGTGCTTTTTTTGTATTTGTATCTAAGTTTCGAACTTTTCAAATTTCAGTTTTTTAATATGTTAGTTAAAAGGAACGGAAATGACTGTCTTTGGTCCATTCGTTTCTTGCAAAAATCAACTTTTGCTAGAGTCGCCATCTAGTGGAGGTGCTTTTTTTGTATTTGTATCTAAGTTTCGAACTTTTCAAATTTCAGTTTTTTAATATGTTAGTCAAAAGGAACGGACATGACTGTCTTTGGTCCATTCGTTTCTTGCAAAAATCAACTTTTGCTAGAGTCGCCATCTAGTGGAGGTGCTTTTTTAGTGCTTTGTTTCTTTTTTAATACTTCCTCATTGCCAATAAAAATGTCAGGTAAAATTTTAAAAATTATTTTATTAATAAAACCGTTGTTCAAGGTAAAATCTCAAAAACAAAACAAACACGCCGTTATAAATTGGGCTGTCGAAACATAATAGATAGGTTATTTTATTTACAACTTAACTAGGCCCTTCTTTACAACAATAAATGGGAACATATGGCTCTTTCCATATTCAACAAAATCTCAACATCTGGTTTGCCGTGCCAAAACATTTAATAATATTATACTAGAATTGGTGCAAATAATAAGTGACTTATCAAAAGTGTAACATTATTGATATTGCAGACTATAAATTTACCACAAAAATATCAGCTAGGTACAATTTAAAATTCCATCAACTTTTAGTCAACATTACAGGCCTTTCAATTGACAATTAAGTAAAATTACAATACTTAAAACATATGAGAGATTTTATAGGGGCATACCTTTTCAAAAATTTACCTATTTGATAATGACTAAATTTTAAATACAGTAATATATAACTTACTAATAAAATATAATCGAATATCAAAATTAGTTTTTTAAATTCAATTCAATAAGTTTAGGCCATACTAAAAATACAATCATTAAACCTACATAGATTAAAATTTTGTGCACCATAATTCAATGATTTGGCTTGAAACCACACTTGTGTCATTAATGCCCATTTTCACTAACCTAGAACAAGGCATAGTTTAACTTAAAATTACTTGATATTACGAATAGCATAATCAGATTTGTCGTTTCATCAAACCTGTAACGTTAGGTAATACAACGTTTGTCTATAATTTGGCATACTTTAGCTCATGCTTTAGTTCCTCTTCTTCTTTTTTAATGCATGGCATATTCGCGTTTACACAATTCCGCCAAAGTCACGTTAGTAGCCTTTACACGTAAAAAGACAATAACAAAAAATGTCTTTGTTTATATCTTAATTTTAATATATATATTATAGTTGGAATTAAACTCAAAGAATTGATTTTATCCGTTGATACGTCCGTTATAGCCAAAGAGTAATATCACATTACGCAAATGCCCAGCGTTAGGCGCCGCACAATGCATGTCCTTACTTTATGCGTTGCCTAGTTCGGTGGCTCCTTGTCATTGGTGAAACGTATTTTCACAGATTTGGGCGACTCCTAAGTTTAGTGAAAACGGACATAAATATTTATGTTTTATAAAACACCAAACGTGTACACAGAGCCTAATACATCTAAAAGAATTTAATATACATACTAAAATATACATCCAGTGTCTTAGTACATTTATTAATAATTGATAATGTAAAAACTTACTTTATTACACTGAAAATAAATACTATTATGTCATATTTACAGTTTTATTTGGCTACAAGATGTCTTTTTATGAGATTTTTTATTGCTGGATGTACATAGAGCATACATATATAGCAGCGAGCATACTGTCAGGTAAAAAGTTATACATTTGTATGCCCACAACTCTGTCTACTGCCCACATGAGCAATTATACAGTATACAAAATCTTGATCAGGCATCATAGATTTTGCTACAAAACCCCTTTGCAGAAATGTACTGTTTTAAACAGTTCATACTATGACTTGGACTCAGGCTATTTTCAGGTTTGATGTGACCAAAACTTTTTTATTGTATGCATCCGCCCATAGCAGAAAATGAGATAAAAAAAAACGTCAAAAAGACTCGAAAAAAATGAAAAGTATCTTGAATTTCATTATCAAAGAATTTTATGTTAATGATTTACAGCAAGTAAAGGAAAAAGAATTTTCATCAGTTATTCTATAGAGTTTCAAAGAACATTGTAATTATAATATGTTTATGGTTTATTTCATTGACAGCATATTATTTCAATAACAACCGTTTTTTCAATGTAAAGCATAAGTAAACATTTCTATTACACATTATCTGGGAGTAGGGATTACAATTGTCATTATCCATTTGTTGCAGAAATTTATTCGGCTTTCCTTAAGGCTCCTCTCGCACGCCAGGCCTTAAGCAAATTAAAGGAGAAATACAATTGGAAAAAGTGGACTTGAGATGCTAGTAACACAAAAGCATACCACAGTAGTCCATACGGATATCCCTGGAAAGAAAACAAATAGGATAAATAAAAGTAAACAGTTTATTGTATTGACAAATGCTTATTTTAACTTCACATATGGTTAACAAGTTCAGTCTGCAATTGTGGAAATAAAGTAAATCCTTAAATATTGTAATATGAATACCTACATGAATTTCAAGACAAGGAAATAACACAAGATGTTTTTCAATAATGGACTATAACATTATTGAAAAACATCTGCTAGACAATAATTGTTGACCTATGATGTGATGTCTCCAATTTTTAACTTAGTATAACTATTTAACACTCAATGAAAAATGCTTTTTCTCTCTAAACTGGCTATTAGCTGAAGAATCTGAATTGAAATCGGATCTAAGTTGCTGATTAATGAGAAAAATTAAATTGACTAGATAATCAGCAAGTTGCAAAAACATCCATCAAAATTGTCATCCGTGTAAAGCAACATTACCCATACAAATTTGATATTTATTAGAGGTTTATTTAAAACCTTACTGGGCGTTTGAGCAACTGACTGAATATATTTTCCATTTCAATCTGACATCAATCAAGACACAATCAATCTGATCACGACCACTGATTGATTATCTAATGACCCGAAAACATTTCAACAAAAGACAATAAAATGATTGAAGTAATATATATCAATAGGATTCTCACCTGCCACAGCTCAATTTCAACCTCTGAACTGTCATCTTCATCTTCATCTCTTGACAGGTACCTCCAGACATCCGTGCAATAATATAACACACAGTATAACAAAGGTCCAAATCCAAGTACTCCGATACCATAAATATAATGTTTTAGTTGCTTAACATTATTCCGCTTAATTGCAGCCAGTCCCAAGAAGGAGAAAATCAGGGAAAGGCACCAAATATATTCCCACCAAAGAGGCTGAAAATAAAAAAAAATGTTTGTTAGACATCATATTCTTTTTTGTAATTCAGATTAAGTTGTTAGTTGGCTAAAGTATTCAAACATAATTTAATAGGAAATATTTATTGTTCTTCTCTAGATTTATAAGGTTTCAATTGAGAAGAATAATATAAATTGATAGAGGTACAGTAATTTGCAAATTTCAGTATTATGTAGGTATATACTATTTAACAATTATTATTATTATGATTTTAAAATGCAGAGAACAAAGCCCACTGCTGAGGTTAGCTTGGCAACACTCATTTCACAATTTGTTTTAAACAGTTTTGTTATTTAACTTAATGTATTGTAGGTATATTGTGTCAGTGATGTTGTTATATAAATTATATATATATAAGTCCTGCTAATTGCTGATGTGCTGGAACCTTGTCTAAATAACACCTCAATAAGTTTTACAACAGATAATGGAGGGCAGATAAAGTTAAGTTTCAGATAAAGGTTTTAAAGTAAGAAAATTGCTAAGTTTGAGATACAGAAGTACAATTTAATTTTTCAAGTTATGGAGGGATAATATGTACCAAAATGGCTTGGAGGGACTCACTTATTATTTCAACTAATAGAGGGTTGAGATTTCAAGTAATTAAGGTTTTTGGTGCTGCGAGGGAAGGGAGAAACTTATTGAGGTTCGACTTCAGGAGTACTACTGTATTTATAAACAATGACCAACATTTTACTATAATAATTGAATAGCTTTCAGGTTAATAATTTATTGCATGAATTTTCAGAAGAGAAAATAAATATAATATTTACTTTACAATAACAGGGTAACAAACAGAAAAGACAATATAGTCTATTTTAGATAATGGTCATTATTCTAAAAAGGTTATGTTACTATCTGTTGGGCAGATGGCTAATTTTCTTCCTATTATTTAAAGGTAATGATGGACTAATAATTTTAATTATTATCAACAGTTAAAAAATACTTACTTGTGGTATCTGCAATTCTTCAATCTCAAGGATAAATATATCAAGTTTGTCTAGAATATCAGCAGAAAGTTTCGCCAACATCACAAGGAAAAGTATATGATGAAAGAAAACACAGTACTTTAATCGGGATTTGTTAAGTGCACTAAAAAGAAAATAAATGATTAATAATCAATAAGAACAATAAGTTTACTTGATGACCGTAGTTATAGATGCAATGAAGGCATAATATCTGTAATATAAATATTTTTAAACAAACGGCGCGAATTCTACTTCACCATCGATTGCTTTCGGCTAAAAATAATTTTGCGGAACTTGATGAAATAAATATCTTCTGTCTTGTAACTGCAACCCCATAAATTTTCCTAAAATGCTTCACTGTCAAATGCATATAATGAACAAAATATATATACCTTAATTGATATTGGATAGCTATTTTCTCTCTGTGCTCAAAGTCAGCACCGTTCGTCCCCGTCACCATTATACCGCGTGAAGCCATTTTTCTAAATTAATTTATGTAACCAAATATTCGACACTATATTCCACTTTAATTATAATTCACGTAAAACACATCATTCACTTATAAACTGTTTTGAAAAATATTTTTCACTAATCTCATTTCCAATTTCTCCATCTGCCAAATCGAAAGACTGAAAATGACAATTGATGACAATACTGCCAACCAGCTGCCAACGTTACAAGGTTTTTAAGAAAACGTTTCTGTCTACGTAACTTCTTAAAAAAAATCCTAAAATCTATTTAAGTACTAGATAAAAAAATGGAGATGCTGATAATATAGCCCTAACCAATTTATAAATATATATTTATAGGTGTGTGTTAGTTTTATTTGTATCTTAATTAGAATTCTGTAAACTATTTGATCGTAAATGTAATGCCTATATTGGAACGATTCCATGACACTTCATGCGTTTGGATACACAACCACGAATGTTTAATTTGACATTCGTGTACACAACAGATAAACACAAAATTGATGCCTATTAATTCTGTGCTTAGAGTAAGTATAGGTATAAGCAACTTTAAAGCGCGCGTCACTTTTGTACTGTTGCCCCATAGTGCCCATCGTAAGCAGATATTTTTTTAAACGTATAGCGCAAATCTAGTGATGGAACAATATTGGTATTTAGTAACTATGCTGGCAATAACTGCTGGCAGCGGTCAATAGCAATAACTCATTTCCAATGGGTTTTTGTTCTAATAAGCTTATAAAAGGAAAAGATAAAAAAAATTGCGATAAATAGCGAATTCTGATCATATTTTTTTATTTAAAGAAAAATAATAAAGCTGTTCTCTTCATGTTTAACATAAACTTAGTGAAAAAAATACACATGATATAAAGCAAACATAAAACAAACATTTGACAAAATATTTAAACTCGAAACAATTAACTTTAGTAACCAAAAGAAGAAAATTAAGTGATACATCTACAAAAGTCGAAATAGGTTATATGGTTTGTATTGGCTAAAGTGTACCTCGACTGATCCAAAGTTTATTAATGTCAGAAATAATTCAAAATTCTTTAGGAAAATATGTATTTCAGCTTTTGCAAAATATATGTCTATATGTAATATGCGCAGATGCCTATTAGCGGTTTTCAATAAAGTTATTAAAACAGATGAAGCGGTGGTTGCCGATACATTTGCCAAATTCTTTTCCAAAGCACCGATAGAAATCACTAGAAAACTTAGTTCATGTTTTAGACTTACTATTACTCGTCTAGAGTCAGTTATTGATAAGTGCAATACTGAATTTTATTTTAGACATTTTAACAACAACTCAATTGTCAAAACATTAATACCAAACAAATCAAAGATCTTTGGGGAGTTTCAACTTACGTTATCAAATCTTTAATACCATCTATTGACAAATAACTTTTATTTTTAAAAAGAGCATTGATGAAGGGACTTTTCCTGACTTATTGAAATATGGTAAAATAATCCCACTTTTCAAGGCAGGCGACAAATCTGATCCCAGTAATTTCAGACCAATATCTATACTACCAGCGCTAAGTAAAGTATTTCATAAAATTATTTACAATAACTGCTTGCACGCTTTTCATTAAATAAATTAGTTCATAAAATTCAGTTTGGTTTTAAAAAAGGTACCACAAATGTACCACTTCTAAGACATATCTATGATGCGTAAACTATGAGAGAGTAAACAAGATGCTATCGTCATTTTTAACGATCTGTCAAAAGCATTCGAGAATCATTCAAAAATCTGCAGGGGCACCCTTTACTATGGGCGTACCTCAGGATCTGTATTAGGATCATTGCTTTTTCTCATTTACATTAATGGTCTTCCTTACGAAGAATTTGTGCGAAACAGTATTATTTGCAGATGATACCTCTTTAGAGTTTAAAGTTAAGAGGGGTAATGATTATTTGCAAAGTCAAAGTCAAAATAATCTTTATTCAAATAGACTTCTTAAAAGTACTTTTGAATCGTCCAAATGCTCTCGTCAACTTTCTACAGTGGTTTGATAATAATAATTTAAAGTTCAATTTAAATAAAATGAAATGCATAAAGTTTGCATCACCTAATGTGAGTAAATGTAAATAGTTCCTTGGTATTATACTAGATTCCCGACTGCAATTGGATCCTCATATTGTTAAGTAGACTGAGTTCTGCAGATTTTGCTGTTAAGAAAATTAGACTTGACAAATGTTGAAACGGCAAGATTGGTATAGTTTTGCTTTTTTTATGCTGTAATGACGTATGGCCCGCCTATTGTTGTGCGGTTCTGCGGCTAGCATAAATAATATCTTGAATATTTTTATTCTACAAAAGAGAGCTGTGCTATGCTATACCTATGATTTACAGGGGCCGACCGCCATGAGATCGGCGGATGTGACCATATTCATGGCAAGATCCTTTATTGTAAAGGTACCTGTGACGATTGAGCGAAAAAACGACTTACTTGTTGTGGATGTTCAAAAAATTGCTGTGTATAAATTTTGTTAGATTTTAAATGATATAAAATTTAAAAAGACATTGAAATTTACTAGGAACGGTCTGGGGAATCCTTCAGAAAAATATTTAAAGAAATAAATAGGTATTTTAACTGTTGCTGAATCTACATCTATGAAAATATTATGTAGGCAAGAAAACATGATTCATTCCCAAAAAATGTAGTGTTCATAATCTTAACACAAGAAATAAAAATAAACTTGCCGTTCCAAACTTCAGACTTCGGTAAACCAGAGGATCATTTCTGGGTAATGCATTGCTATCTTCATTTAAGTTCCACAAAATGTAATTGGCCTATCCGTAAATAAATTTAAAATCCACGTAAAGAACATTCTTATGAGTTAAGGCTAATGACTATTGATGAAGTTGATGACTACTTGACACTCCTCAATTTTAATGCCTGTTATCTAAGCTATGTCTTGTTAAATTGAAGTAAAAAATACGTATCTAATATTTTTCGATTATCTGACTGACGGACTAAATAGAATTGCATTTTTTTTACCCAGTCATCAATATTGAATGCCAACATAGACGTTACAATTTTACAAAAACAAGCAGCCATACACACAACCGCCATATTCAGTAAGGTATTAGTAGGAGATACGGTGTTTTTAAACAATACTGCAGACATACAAGAGCCTATACAACCACTGCGGATACCACACATACCAACACCAGACACACAAAATTCATATAACCCATTCACTACAGATACATCGGTCATAAATAGAGATGGGGAAACATATATATCCTTTTTCTTACGGGATGTAGGACAGGACATTTATACAACCGACACAAAGTCGAGAATCGGCAAGCCGAAACTAATATATAATATAATATAATATAACCCTCCAATCCGCACTTGACCCGCGTGGTGGATTACGGTCCCTTCTTAACCCATCCGTAAGGAAGGCTCGTGCTTTTGCAGTGGGAACAAAAAGGTGCAGATGAGGATGTTTTCTAACAATTATTATAGACTTGTGAGTACAAAACTTAAACGAAATAAAGACAAACGACAGAAAAAGAGAAATTATACCACAAATTTTTATCTTCAATAAAATCGAAATAAACAGTTAAAGCAACATTTTCTTAGAGGTCGGTGCATTAGAGATGAAAATAGCCGCACAACTTTTCGTCTGTGAGGAAACTTTCCTGAAAACTTCCAAAATTTCAACAGTTTTAGAAGTTTTGCGGGGTTAAGGTAAATCCACCATTGTCAACATCTAAAAAAAGTAAATGTCACTGATTTCAGTAACCAGTGCTATTGTGGAAAACTTGTCGTCATAATGCTTCTTATTTTCTCAAATCAATCAACTCAGATCAAATGTTAATTCACCAGAATAAAAGAAGGAAATAAACTAACAGTAAAAGCAATAACCATGGAGTTTTTCAAATAAAATTAAATGTTGAAGTTTTTTCTTTGGTCTATAGTAAAAGTTTCCCAAATACATTAAATCTTGTAAAATAGATACGAATGGTTAACGGAAAATGGATTTCTAAAAAATATAAATATCATTTAAAATATTACCAAATTCTGATTCAAGACTAACAGTTTCATGTACTCTATATCATTGTGTACTAATTTGTTTATTGTACATAATTAAAGTCATTGTGCTTGTTTACAACCAATCGGAGCGGGGATTTACAGAGTAAAAAACACTTAAAATTAGCTTAAACAATTCCGTCTATGATTACGGCATTTTTATGAGAAAGCTTAAACGCGAAGTGATAAAATAGTTACCTCCATTAAGGCCGATTATAACTTAATAAGTATAACCAACCTTTAAGCACTACTTTCATGTTAACAGCGCACGACAATTTTGCAAAGAATTTTAGAATAGAATAAATGTACGAACATTGCAGAACTTTTTTCAAGGTCCGTTGATTCCACTGCCTAAACCTATTAAGGTAAAGTCGTCATTGTCAGTCATTTCCCCAAGAATCAACAGAGCAATGATCAAATAATATTTCTCCAGAAACAAATAAAAAAAAATATCTCTAGCCTGAGCTCTTTATGCTTCGCGAACATCATTCAATAAAGTATGTAATTGTCGATTTATTCTAAAAATTAAAAGTAAATGTAGTTATCGATTCACGGATCAGGAGTGCTTCACTGCTAATTTCACCATCATTGTACGAATTTCACAATCATTGTAGTACAGTAAACATCAGCTAGAATTGCTTGACAAATTCTAAATTTTGTCTTTAATCCACAATTGGACAACTCGTAATATTTATGATTTTGTTTTTTCTCAAGCTCTAAATTGCCAATACTAACGTGTTCACAAACTATTTTTTCAGTTGATTAACACGTCACCTTGACTTTAAGATATAAAATGTCTCAATAATAGTCAAATTAACTTCAAAAGAACCATATCGCTTAAACTTCCAAAACTTCCCATATTTCGGAAGATTTCAGGTAAACTTTCTGAAGCTTTCCCGGAAACTTCCAATGTTTCCAAAATTTTGGGGAATTTTCCAAGTTCTATGATTCGCAAACAGATATTATACGGATTACCTACGAGCATAGCACGCGGTTAATTCGATGTAGTACCTGATCTGTTCATATAATGGCAAGGTGGAGTGGATAGAGACTTATCTAAATAAGTTAATTCTACTATTTCAAAAAGGCGTTTCGTGTTATTGATTTCTATGTTCCGATATTAGCTTTTACATATGTACACATAACTAGCAAAATTATTTCCCTGTACTGTGACATAGGCACTAAACACCGATAATGGTAACATTCTGGAAAAGTAATGTCTTTGATTTAGAAGTCAAAGAACCGAAACAGCTGATCTTAATTTCGGTTGACTTCGATAAATCCTATCGAAAAAGGAGCTGATCTCCATACACATTGCATATTATATAAAGGTATTGTGCGCAGTGGCGGATTAACCCAATTGCGGGCCCGGACATTACGGAGCAATGTGTTCAACCTAATCCCATGAAATGTGAATCTCGTATTCCACCCCTGATGTTGCACAGATTAGAAATTGCTGAAATTTTTTGTCTAAAATGAATAGCTACAGAAAATAAACCTCTCCTTAAAAGAATTTTACCCCAGGAACATTTACCAGTTGGTCCATATATTGACATCACTCAAGCAATGACAGAATACTTCCCGTAACTTCTATTTCAGATTAAACCTTAATAGATGGGCCGGAATAAAATAACTCTCGTTTTCAACACACTACGATGCAAACGATTTTATTACCCACAACAGTCTTGTAACAAAAAAATTAAAAGCATTTGTTTCTTCATATAACATCACAAGAATTAGTATATTAACTCCCGAGGAGGTTAAAAGCAATATGTGAAGTCAAAGACTTAGCACTTTGGTTGCTTTAAAATAGGTAACTTTTTAGAATCATTAGGAGTGAGCTGCCTCTTTTCGAGACAAAAAGTTGAATAAAAAAGGTGTATTAGAGAAGATAGAGGATATACCAAACATGTCCCTATATACCTATTATCTATCTGCTTACCTTAGTTATGAGTTAATAAATTAAAGTATACCTACCATAACTACTTTAATGTAATTTGTAAATACATACATCAACATCGTCTAGGGATATTTTAATTATTCTTAATTTTCTCAGTTTTTTTTTCTGAATAACATACAACATGTCTATATTTTTATAAAGCCCATTTATTAGCGTAGATTATAGAATAAAACATTAATATTTTTTGTACCTAAAAATAAATTATTTAAGTAAAGACGAAAAGAAGAATAATGGTAAAAATAACGATAAATGTGTTTTTCAAGAAAATGTGAAAAATATAGCGAAATTATTCCGTTACTTGCAATTTCGCGAAAATCAATAGTCAGTAAAACCACCCATCCGTTAACAACGGTCCTGCAACGATTTTTTATGCTTCCAATCAACTTATCAAAGTCTTGCTGCGGGATATTGTCCCAGGATCTGGAAAGATGCAATAAATGTTGCTCATCAGTGACAATGTTTGTAGGTAAATTCCTCAAAGCCCTTCTTTGGAGCATGTCTCACGCGTATTCTATGGGATTTAGGTCTGGTGATTGCGCGGGCCAGTCTAAGACCGATACATCGTGCTGCTGCAGCCAGCTGGTAACCACTCGCGCTGTGTGGGGACGAGCAATGTCGTGCATGAGCGTGAATTCTTGACCCATTTGTAGTCGATGTGGGTAGACTATTGATACTAGCACTTGGTTGAGGTATTTTTCACCGATCATGGTGTTTCTGATCCAAACGAGGCCTGTTCTCACGTTTTATTTTGTTCCGATGTCCTCAGCAATACTCCATTGACTAGCCCCAGCTTGGAGCATGTCTGCTGCCCTTAACATTTCCTCTCTTGTTAAATGGCGTCGCTGCATAATGCAGACAGTAGCACAAATTCAAATTAAACAGCTAACTTGTTTTAAAACTTTCGATTAACACAAAAAATCTTCAAAAAGTATGGTAGGTAAAGTGATAACTTAAAAAAATCTTTTGTTTGAAATTTTTTTTTTACTTCAAATTTGGAATCACCAAAAAAGGCGTTCAAAATAAGTTTTCATCAAAAGATTTTAAAAACGGCTAGTATTTTTTTGAATTTAGAACTTTATACAAAATATCCTTAGACGATGTTGATGTGTGTAGAAGAGTACAGTAGTTGGAAGATAGACCCATATCCCTATATTCTTAAGCCATAACTACATAGGTACAACGTTTACATGAGCTCACAAACATGCACATTCCATGAGTCACTTCCCATAAAGCTAACTACAGTTTGTCATTTACACGGGTAACGCGAAACAAAGCGATAACGATTTTAATTGTTCCGCCTATGATGTTTTATAAACACAGCACTTTATTGAAGGAATTATAATCTTTATTTAGGTATTCAATTCTTCTAGCCGACTCAGCTCGGTTATATATTCATGCCCACCTTTGCTATTACTTTATTGTTAGTGGATTTCTCGGCAATATGAAGTGTGTCTATGTAGTTGCTCTGTTCGGCTTTGTGGCGATACAGGTAGATAATCTATATACGCATATAGCTAAAATTCTGTAACCAGGCTTCAGCTTTTACCAATAAATCTTTTATTAATTCTGAGTGAGCTAATTCCTATTAACTAAATTAGATAAATCGTAATTGTGGCGTACGAAAAAGTGTTACAATTACGATTGATGGTCTTCGAATAATCGTGTGAGGAAAGCAGATAAAGAAAAATCTAATTTTAACCTTTATTATAATCAGTTATGCCGTGCCGCACCTGTACCCGAAGAAAATAAGGAGGTGGTTGCATCAGAAGGGACTCCTGAAGCACCACAAACAGTAGTAGAACATGTAGAGGTGAGTAAAATGATAAATAATTTAAAATGCGAGACCAACAAACGCAAAACTTATATCAACACGGATTCAGTTTATTAGTCGTAGTAAAAATCGTTTGGTTCGACTTCACACGCGTTGCGTTTCATCATTTTAAGTGTGTCCCGTTCGACATAAGCAACAGATGTCTTGATTGAAAGCGTGATATTGCTATAATGTCACCTTAGTGCGCATTTAATTTAACCAATACGGTTGCTTTACCTTCGCCTTGAATTGAAGCGGAACAGTGTCGTGTTTTATAGGAGAAACCGCAATATCGTGACGTGATCACGTGACGAACGTGTACAGTATATAAATGGGTGGGCAGACTTCCACACTAAGCAAACCCCGCTTCAATTAACACCGATTGAGGATAAAGATTCTCTTCCTCAAAGAAAGCTTCGGAGCAGCACAGAAAAGTCTATAAAAGTTCGCGTGGTAGATTATATACTAATCTTAAAAAAAAGGTATCCTAAAGTATAACGTTTAGCAGGGCGATTCTGTAAAAATCGGATTTTTTTGTTGGAATTGGAAATTGGAATTCACTCATGTGTCTAAATTCACCATTAAAATCAGGAATTCTATTGATTCCATTAATTATACGTGCCTTAGATATTCTACTCCTATGTCATTTCGAAACTCATATCACTCACACGAAATGTTATTACCAATTCAAAATTGAGCGGATGCCACTTTTTGAAGTGAACTTGCACGCCTGTGTGAATTCGAATTCGGGTTTGGATTTTTAGAGAATCGCAGGCAGGGCTTGGAAACTGGTAAATTTTTTGAACCGGTTCGATGTTAGTACATGCGAAAATTGACATAAAAGGTTCAGCTCCTTTGAACAGGTTTTTAAACCGGTTCACTAGAAATACGGTTTTCTTCATTAACCGGTTTAAATATGACTCCAAACAATGATCTCACAAACTTCAGCGCGGTTTTTAAGTGCCTTTACTCCTATCTATGACATTCGTATACAGGTATAATAAATGCCGTCGCTTAAAAATCATATAATTCGCATTAAAAGCGTAAGAACATTGCTTTTTAAGAACCAAGCAAATTAACCGGTTTTTATTCCATCCGAATTTCACTCCGCTTTTAGTTCCGATCCGGAATGGAACATTATAACAGAATAGGTTTTACCTAAATAAAAACGGTTTATTCTGAACCGGTTTCAAGCCCTGATCGCAGGGTAGTTCAGTGAACAAAATTTCCCTAATTCATTTTAATCCTGAAACGAGTTGAAAATTATGTTCAAAACCGATTGTCAACCTCTATTGGTCTGCATTTTCTTTTCCAGGTGTCCTCTGAACCAGTTAACACAGCACCAGCAACTGATGTGAAGGAAACAGTGAAAGAGGAGAAAGCATCGTAATTTCTAGATTGGAATATTATGTGATATAAATATCTCATGCTTCGCTTTATTAAACATAAGAATCATGTAACTTTTGAAGGTATTGAATACTGATAACAAAATTTATTATTGTCCTTTTGTATTTTTTTTTATTGTTTTATTTTTATACTACTTACTCATATAGTCCATTCTATATATTTATATTCGAGTCGCTGTTACACCTACTCGCTATTATACCAACTTTATTGCATTTATGCCGACGTACTATGCACGTCAAGTGGAGCGTCATCGCGGTGTCAGTGAAAATATGCATTAGTTTACATGATGTGTGATATTAGCAAGAGAGTAACTCATCTTTATCACGTCAAAATTTTAATAAATAGAAGACACATTTTCGTACAAAATTAGAATAAGCCAACCGACCTGTAGAATTGGTATTCATTGGTACTCAAGTCCAAAAGACGCACGTTGTGGTAACGATCGAAAGGTTTCATACATAAATGGAAATACGTAAATAAATTTTATTTCTAGGCAAGTTTATTAAAGCTTCGTATATTACAACATAAACAGACAGTACCTTAACTTCAGTGATTGAATAAAACTTGAATGTTAACTTTTGATGGTTAATAACATTTGAGTGTTAATTTCAGTTAGTGAAACCATTTACGACTTTAAAATCAATTGGTAGTGAAGAACAGTATATCCCTGACGCTACCACGCGATGGAAATTCGAGGGGCGTAAGAGAGACTGCGCCCGCGCTACCTACGCGACAGCGCTGCGCATTTTCTCCACCTTGAATATACAGAGTTACCTGCAAAGTTGACCATTCATTAAGTATTATTTTTCATTTTTTTTCGATCCGAAATACCACATTCTCAAAACTCTATGATAGTACATAAGAAATATTGTAACATTAACAAACTAATACCCGTCTCTCTGAGGATAGATACCAGTTCGGATTCGATTGGGCATCTATCCCCCTAGGGATGTCCATGCTATGACAACACACAGTTACACGACTCTACCTATTAGCGATTAGTAAAAATAAGTGATGATTACATAATATATTTATTATATACTTGTGGAGGAGGCCCGTGTCTACTGTTTTCATTGGATAAAGGTACTGATCTCGGTTCTCTTGTCGAATCTTTGCGGCGTCTCTTGCTACTCGGTCGGCGGTTGTCTTGCCGTCTTCTGCCCGTAGTAGTCGAGGATTCTACTTTAAAATGAATGATTTTCTCATTATTATTATTATATACTATGCTACGAATTTCTTCAGTGTCGTAACTTTGCGTATTAAAGAAATAGAGATAAACCGGATTAAGTAGCAAACAGTAGATATAGTACAGTACAACCCTACCGTCATCTTGTTCTCTCGGCAGCGGTGGCGGTGGTGGCAGCGGTTGCGGTAGAGGTGCGGCACGGGCAAGGATACTCTTGCGGTTTTCTATCAGTCGCACTAAACATTCCAATGCGGTTTGCTTGTTCTATATTAACAAATAATAACACTTTGACTAGCTCGGTGGCGTAGTGAATAAGCGCTGCGACCCGCGATCGTTGTCGTTAAGCAACTTTCGCAAGGGTCGGTCACGGGATGGGTGACCAAAAAATGTATTATCACGAGCTACTCCGTGCTTCGGAAGGCACGTTAAGCCGTTGGTCTCGGCTGCATTTGCAGTCGTTATACTCTCCAATCCGCATTGGGCCAGCGTGGAGGGTCATCATGACCCATCCTCCTTAACCATCCATAAGGAAGGCCTGAGCCCCTACAGTGGGGACGTAAAAGGGCTGATGATGACGATGATGAACACTTTGTTATTTGAAAAAACTATTGAAGAATTTACGTTGAAATTTCCTGTTTTTAATAATTATAAATAATCAAATTTAAAGATAAACATGAAACACTAACCCGTATTTCCTCTAGCAAAGGGTCGAAAACTGCAGGATCTGTAGAGTCTTTGAGGACCTCCCAATTCTTGAACAATTTGCGATCTGATAGTCTCACAGTACTTTCTAGCTCGCGGACCTCTAAAAGTGATACATGCACAATGTACGAGTAGGTATATAAAATAAAATATTAGCATGGATGGTGTCGGCGATTATGAGAAACCTGTAAACGATTTTTTTCAGGAACCAAATGAAAAAAATAACTGCATCTTGCGGGTATGTATTTGGAATTTACTAAAAAATATCGTTTTACAGTATGTCGTGTTATTATCGTAGCCCTAAAAAGTTTTCGAACTATGCTAAGTCATATCAAAACTTAAATCCTAACAACATGATACCGATACCTAGAGATCAGTCATAATTCTATTGTCCAAGTTTTTGTCATTTAGATAAGGGCTCCATGTCGGATACTCGCAGCTGGTTTTACCAGGTAGGTCGACTTCGTTTAATTATGTCTTTTTCAGGACGGGTGCTGACCCGCAGGACAGACTGTTCAAGGATTTGAATTTAGAATTTTTCAAGAATAGACGACCCAGCGGTCGGAGAGCCCTTGTTATGGTTGCATTTCCCCTACGTTAAAAAAGGTAAAGTAAATCCAAGACAATATCTAACGCTTTATACGTACGAGACCTATAATTATCTTGAAAACGTGTCATATTTGTATTTGTATCCAAACTATTGCTGGCAATATAAAAATTGACGCACCGGTTTCCCTCATGCTAGCCAGATGTGCGACAAGATGCTTCTTGAATGCGCGCACTGCCCGACGTTGCGCGCGGGTCCTTGTCACGACATCGCGTGCATTGCGAGCTTCTGCTGCTAATGACGCAACCTCGCGAGCTTCTTGCTCTAATCTTCGCTTCAGTTCACTTTCAAGTAGTATGGAAAGAGTGAAAGTTATTCTCTAGTATTTTTTTCGCTTATGCTTTCACCTTTAGTTTAGTAGGGTAGTAACATAATTTAAGTAAAGGTTGCAGAATTTGAACAATATGCTCAAAGATTCACATCATGTTGGCCTGCTTTAGCCTGTAGGTGATAATGGGGCTATTTATTTGCCAGAAGTGAACCAAAGTTGATTAAAACAGACACTAGTTTACAAAAACGGAGTTGCATATCCTATAAAGCTTGGAATCGGGTAGGACCTAGTCTGATATTATTTTACTTTGCGTTTCCATTAAATTAATTTAAAAATGTCCATAGAAAAAGGATAAATTAAATATGTACTAGTGACTTTGTTAGCCATTAGCAGGAATAGTTTTTAGATACCTAGGATATTCTCCTGTGATTTCTGAATAAGATTGAATGTTTCTGACTATTTCCACCAGGTGGTACAGTTGATCACAGAACTCTGGAAGCTGCTCGGGAGTTAAGTACTGGCCGCCGTATCTTTGAATGAATATTAAACTATTAAAAATAACTGTATAGTTTTATCTGTCAGTTTTAAAACTACTTTAACGAGTTATATATGTTATCAAAGCATTCTCCAATCAAATATCAATATTATTGTAAACCAATGAGTATCATGAATGATGTTAATAAATTAATGATAGAACTTGCAACTAAAAGTGAAGTGTCCACTAGAAATGAAATTTGCAGAAATTGACCTGCACAAACAACTTTAGACAACTGAATATAGGACTTTGCGCCTGTTTTAGTGACTTGCCGCATCTGCTGTAAGACCTAGACGTGTATATGGCTGACACAAAAATTACTCTTAATTGCCACAATTTTTCAGTTTAGTGAAAGTATACTGCAAGAAACTGTGACACTGTGTTAATTGCCAGTGGATATTCCGACTTGTGCTGTAGATTGCATGGAGTAAAATCTACCAAAACCTAAACTGAATCTAGTATCGAATTCCATTAGGTATATTTTACTACGATCTTGCTTACCTAAGATCAATGTTTGCAGCAAACTGATTAGCATCCATTGGGCTATTGGTTGTACTCGTCGAAGTCATGACGGGAACGTCCAGATCTTCATCATCATTCATAGTGCTGCAGCCTGTGCTTTCCCTATTAAAAATTAGGCATTCGACATTAAAGTCAGATGAACCAAGATTTTTTTGCCTTAAATTTATTGCAGCAAAATAGTAAAAATATGCCATCTCTATCTGGCTTCCGTTTCCTTTTCCCATTCATTTTTCTTTATCAACGCTTTTTGCATTTCTAGTCAAGTTACGTCTCAGTAATCAGCATACATCTTATAGACTTAATACTTCAATTACACCGTCGAAGGGGTCAGCGCGCGGAGTAGGGGCGACCGACCCCTGCGCGCTCCTGTCGTTAAACAATTTTGGACTAATGAAAGCTAGAAAAAAGGTCTCCAAGCCTCACGTGGATGTCATTGACCCAGAGGAAATAATAAATAAATATTAGACACCATCACATAGGTACATTGCTCAGATTCCAAGTCGAATACCTAAAGTCCTCGTATTATCCAAAACGGACTTTGCGGTACCTTCGTTGTCTCAGGTACTGGAGTACTTGAGACAACGAAGGTACCGCAAAGCCCAGATCCGAGACAATATAAAAAGTTCATTTTCTTCATTGACCCAACTAAGCATCAAACTCGGGACATCAGAGATGGTGACATTTTGAAACCGTCGTGCGGAAATACGCATACATTGCAGTAAGTAAGAAAACTCAACGGTCACTCACACGGTCGACGTTAGAGATATGTTCTTATCCAACGTAGAGTAGCGATGGTCGCCGCGCAGCCTGCCGAGCAGTCTACTGAGTAATCGGGACTGCCGCCCTCCCTCCATACCACAGCATTGACTCTTACTGAATACTGAATTTACTGAATTGCTAGAGAAAACTAAAATTTATAAAAATAAATTTACTAATATTTTTTATAAACAATTAATTTGGTACGAAACGTACTGGCGCATAAGTAGATATAAGTAGTAGATATATTTATTCAGTCCATGGGCCCAGAGGCGGTTTTGCAGGCTTGGCCGATCAAGGCTATGGAGTACTCTTTAAACTCTCATAATTTAGGCACTGCATATGAATTAGCTTTCTTAACAACATTTATTTAAATAAGTAGTTTAAAAAAATTGTTGTATTATGCCATAATAAAAATATTTCTGTTGGTATATGTCGGTGTAGAATACATTAGTTTCAGTGACGGCTCAATGAAACTTGGCACCCAGGTAAAACACTGTAACGCTCTTAAAAAATCACAACAAAATAAAATACTAATGTAGATACAACGATCAAAAAGTATAAAATTTTGAACTTTTGAATACCGCGGATATGGCCTCGTATTCAAAGAATAAAAGTTCATTTTTATAAGTTTCGAATAATTAGTCAGGTCATGCCGCCCCCAAATTCGCACGCCTTAGGCAGTTGTCTAGTTTGCCAATATGGGCGGGCCGGCACTAAATAGATATGCCTAATCTGCCTATGTAATAAATATACACTAACAGTCGTTATTCCATAAAATACTTTAAAATGTATAACAACTGTTTTACTTTATTTCCATTCTTATAAACCTGTCTCATTGTTTTTAACATAGAACAACGAGCTCTCCTTCGCAGTCCCTAAATGATCTAGGTATCTCTACAATATTTTAAAGAAGAAAGATTTGATTGTATTTTTGTATTGGGTACATTCTGAAACTACTTTACGAAAAAATATTTTACTATTAGAATCACATTATATGTATCCTAGTGATAATCCCTAATGAACATACGTAATGAATATTTACATATAACGAAAAAAAATACATGTGCGAAGCAAGGGCGGTCCGCCAAGCTAGTAAGCGATATTGAAGCAGTATGTACCTTTAATGTGTTTATACTTTGATTATAAAACCAAAAAGTGGATACTTAGGAGTTACCTGGCAATTTAAAAATCGAAAAATTGTGTAGTAAGTTTGGTTGTCCTTTTAAGTGTATATCCCATTTTCTTTGTATAAATACAAGTACATAGTTATCATTGCTGGATAAATATTGTTGAGAACGGTAGCATATTGAAATCTTTATTTAGTAATTTGACAAAGCAGTGTCCCTTTTTTGACATTACATGACCGACAACAAAGAGGATAAATTGTTTAAACATTTATCTATGCCAGTGGTTTATAATCTATTTTTGTACAGTTCTACCTTTTTAAATTCAGAACCTTACAGAACCATAAAAAAGTGTTCGAATATTAAAATCCGACTAAGTATGTAGGCAGTGAAAAATAGTAGCAGTCTTCAGCACCATTCCCACGAACGAGAGAATCAAGGCAACATTTACGTCGTGGCACGTATACCTATATAAACTTCCTTATATAATAATGTAGGTACTCTGCGATGAACTATGAACTTAATGAACGCATATCCACATAGCACGGCGATGTTATAGGTTATGTGAGTTATAGTGTTATAGTAACGTCGTATCCCCGCGGTATCATCCCTTCTGGTGGCCAGTGTTACCAGATACCTTGATCCTATTATCTGGGTAGTTATTTTTTCATTTCGTTTTATAAATAAACGTTTGTTTTTAGTACAGATAGATAAAAATTTATAATTATAGATCGCTCTTTCCAGCACTTCCAACTGAAAGGTCTGTGTTACAAAATGTACAAAAAAAAAACCTTTATTACTAGGTCTCAACCACGCCCTATAGAAAGAATCTTCCATCCAATTCTGATTTAACTTTGCATTACTCTAGGTTTTTTATATGCCATAATAGTTTACAAAAAACACAATATATATTCTTAATAAAATCCACCAGTCCCAGGCACTCAGAGATAAAACTGGAACCTACGACCTTTCGCGATACGGGTGACTGCTCTAACTGCTGAGCTAACCAGGACATAACAGGAGTGACGAATTTTTCAAGCACTTGGTAGGTACTTTTAGCTGCTACATTTTATATTCGTCAATGTTCAGGCAATTCGTCTCGTCAGGCAAAACTCTGTATATATTACACACCGAAAATCTGTATAAATAATACGGAGAAATCTGTATATATGGTACAAATCCGATGAGCCAAGCCCCCCGGGGTTAACGGCTAACATCTCGATGTCACAATTCATGTATGTCAATATAGAGGTTCCGGGGGAACCTCTATATTGACATAGTTGTGCTATAAATTTAGGTCAATGTTTATGTTTCATCGAGCTCACCAACTATAAAGCTCATTACTATAATTTTCTTTTTACATGTTCATCACCAAAGATAGCTCACAATTCGTAGCTCCACATTTACTACATAATCAATTATTTACTTTACCATAGAAAGATTAAACTCAATCCTTTTGTAGTGATAGTTTTAATTATATGGCCGTTTATTTTTGCAGTGTTCATTTAGAGTGCCATTTATGAACTAGGTTTAGCGTCAGAGTAAATTTAGGCCAAAATTGCAAATTTAGTAGTCCAAATTCATATATTATACAGATAAAAGGCAAACTACTACCTACTACTACCTTTAAAGAGTAAATATTATTCCTGTAGAACCTCGTACTAGGTTAACCTTTGCCAAGTCTCTGTTTAATAATATGAATTTTGACTAATACTAAGTGCAGTCGCAGTGTAAATTTACTCCAACGCTAACCCTTGTTTATTAATAACACTCGTTAGTGTACAACATTTAATTAATCATTCAGTAGTTCTCTGGCTAGAGTGAACCAGCATAATAATCAGTGATATTTATTTGTGTATAAAGAATAACAAAATGCTTTAGTTATTAAAATGTATTGTAATTCATATAAAAATACAGTTATCAATATACATAATCGCATCATTGCCAGCGAAGGCATACAATTGTTATTTTTAATAAAAACGCTAACTGCAAAACATTCAAATGCAAATTCAGACAAATATTTTAAGTACATACAACATCATTACAGGCACATATCAGTCAGAGATAAAATACAACATTTTCATTAAATTTAGAACGAGGAGTCTCCGTTTTCAGACTTGTAAGCGCTAGAATACTCTAGAAGAAAGAGTAAATTCTAAATGACCATAGACAACATTGTAAATATAGAATACAAGATTCTCAATATATATAAGAGAATGTATTTAAAAAGTCAATGTAAAAAGTCTGTGGCAAAACTAAGTCTATTAGAGAGTTGGGCTAGGAAGTTACCGCAAGCTAAGATACATGGTTAAAATAAAAAATAATCTATTCTAGTAAATAATACCTAGTGACCGCGATACATTTCAGTAAATAAATTGCCTTCTGCGAGGAATAAAGTACACTTATGCAAACAGAGTCAAGAATACTAACTTACGACCAGTTAGTCCAAAAACTACCTACCTACAACCAAAATAAAGCTACTAGCATTCAACGAAGGCACGACGAATATGATCGAAACTAACCTAAAATTAACTGGTCTCAGTTAGTTCTTAACGATATTAGCGCCGCGGTAAGCTTAATGCAGTCGGTCACCCATTATTACCAGAGACCTGAAGAGAAGCCACCTGGAGGCACACGCTGGCGTCTCGGGGGCTCTACTTTGGCTGGTTCAGGTTGGGGTACATGAGCTTGCGGACTTTCTGTCTTAAGACTTTCAGCCGCCGGTTTTGGCTCAGGAGGAGTTTGTGGCGTAGGAGGAGTTTGTGGCTCAGCCGCTTGCTGCTCAGGCTGGGTCGCTTGCCCGTTCTGGGTAGCGTCTTCTGTGCCATTAGTTTGTTTCTGTTGCTCTGCCTGTTGAGCTGTAATTACAATGCTGTTGGTAAATTTTTGTCTTATAAAATTGAAATCAGTGTTTCCAAAACATTGTACTGCCATGACCCGGTAATTTTCACACTGTGTCTTCGTGACCGACTTAGAAGTACCTGGATGACAGAGCTTTACTCGGTAATTTATTAGGTAAATGAAACCTAGCTAGATCGATTTGTCGTCCTCAAAATATCCTGCATACTAAATTTCATGAAAATCATTTGAGCCGTTATATAAGTAATTAGATAATACCCATTTATTATTATTATAAAGGTTTTATTAATACTAAACACTTTTGCATCGCCCATTTTGACACTAAAGTTTAATGCGAAGTAAGGTGCTGCTGATGGTTTTTTACTAAAGAATCCAAGTTTAAATATAACGAAAGTTTTATCGTAATATTCTACTTCAAGTCGGTATCCATATTTATTTTTAAGGTAAACTAGTGTTGAAAACCCAGCTTCACATTAGTTATGACAAAAGTTATTGCTTGATGAGCTAACTTCATTTAAACATGGCGGGAATGTTGCGACCCGATATCAAACCGGCAGATGGGAACGCATATCTATTTTATTAGTGGACTAATCTATTTTTAAAATAAGCGTGTGTTCTCTCAAATAAAAAATCTAAATAAAGTTTTTTTTTAAACGATAAACTTATTTTTTTGCCAATCTAATCTTTAGCTTCGTAAATAACGCATTAGACCTTGTTACAAAAAAATCATCAAAGGAACTCGGGCAGATGACCCACTTTTGGCCATTTTAAATTATGACCTGGGTTTGGTCAAGAGTTACACCACCAGTCCTTTTACGTCCCCACTGCAGGGGCTCAGGCCTTCCTTATGGATGGTTAAGGAGGATGGGCCATGACCCTCCAGGCTGGCCCAATGCGGATTGGAGGGTTGGTCAAGAGTTACGAGGAAGTAAACATTTCTCACATCACAGCTGTCAACATTATCGGTTTTGTTATAATAAAATATTTTAAAAACTGTTTACGTTAAAATTAATATATTTGCCTATACGCTAATTAGAACGCCTTCGAGTGCCAAATTGTCAAAAATGGAGCAGTGGCCAATATCAGGTTATCTGCCCTACTTTGATTGTACTGACCAGCAATAACCGAAGGAGCGGGGCGGCGGCCACGCTGTGGCTCCGGCTCTCCGCCGAAGATGTCCGTGTGTCCGCCACCCGGAGGACGGAGGACCCTGCTCGACAGCCGGGTGTTGTCAGTGAGGCCAACGTTGAAAGATGTCGAAGTCATTGTGATATCTGAAACAATATTGAGCATAGATTGAGTTAAAGACAAAGAAGGCACAATAGCACGGGTAAGCGAGACCTGTTGAAGATTTCTGTGCCCAGACAAAAAAAAAACAATGCTTCTCAGTTTCTATATTGCTTTGTAAGTATGAATAATCATAAGTAAAATTAATGCTAGAAATCGCAGCGACGGTGTCCAATCTCAAGTCATTTTTTTATATTTATCTTAAAAAATATGCTTAATAATTGACTAGCTGGAAACGTAACAAAAATAAACTGGTCCTTAGTGTATCACCAAGGAGGTTGTCTATTAAACTTAATCGATATTTGTTCTTCAAGAACTGAGCCAAACGGAAAAACCCATTCAATAAATAAAATAGAACTATATCAAGTTCGGTAACTACCCATATTATTACAATTTTTAATCTCTCTAAATATTCAATTGATTTTATTAACTGACTGTTATAATTAGATTTAATTTGTATATGTGAGGTTATAAAAATAGGAACTATGCAATATTCGAAATGGTATTTCGAAAGTATTATTTTTAAACGCGGATGCGTCTGAAGCATGCATATAATAGAAACACGTGCCGTTGATTTTATTTATACATTAACAAAGTATACGGTATTGGTCATACTAGTTTTAATAAATAATTACATAAAATTAAGCGCAATAAGCTTATCTAATACATTATAAACAGGACACGAATTTTGCGAGTTCACAGAGTGTATTATTTGGTCCAATTTAAAAAGGAATTTATAATGGTAAAATATTGCGACATAAGCTACTTTTTATTTAAAACCGAATCAGGAGATTAACAATCGCCGTGAAGTATTTCGAACCAGCTTTATGGACAAATTTTTGAGTAAGAACCTCTATTCTTACAGAAGGGTGAAGTTATGCTATCACTAACACCAGCATTTCATTTAAACATTATTTTATCAGTCCTTTTACGTCCAGGTGATGGTTCTGGTAATGGTCAAACTCTCTTTAGACTGGTTTCATTCAATAAACTAGTAGACCACGAGGAATCGGTGAAAATGGGTCAACAACTGAGCGAATGTTTGTGAAAAACTTTCTCTTAAGCCAAAAGAGATAATTTTTATAACACAGACGACCGCACAATGTACACAATTATCACGCATTAACCCTAAAATGGCAATGAAGCAAAAGGAAAATCAATGAAATAAATAAACTCGCCACAAATAGAAATTTATCGCAGTGACGTGCAACGTGTATGAAGAAGAAATATATACTCAGTGTCAAATATTGACGCTACATAAAGTACATAAAGGGCGTAGATGACGCGTACATAAAGAGCGTAGTAGATCGGGGTCACAGATTTCGTGGTGAATTCTGTGGAATATCAACTTTAATTTGGTAGCGACACGCTCATCATAATTTACCACAAATGCGTAGTTTTACGTGACCATTTATTTGTTTTTCAAAGCGGGAGAATCAAAATATTAGGTAAAATATACTAATTTTAGTACAAGTACAAAAACGCCATCTATAAAATATTTATATTATTGGTGAATTATTTTTTTCCTGCTAACTTTAAAATAACCTGACTTGCAAGCAGGAATGGAGCTTACACTCGTAATCTCTTCATAATCAAAACAGTGAAAGTCAAAACTTTCTTGATTCAAATTGATAGCTAGAAGGCGGTCAACATATTGAAGCCGATCCATTTCGTTGTATGTTTATGATATTTTTGTCGTACTTTTGTTTAAATGGGTACCGATTCCAAATTCTGACCCTCCTTGAGATTAATCATTCCAAGGACTAGACAAAACATTAATGACGTTAACGCAAAATATTTATATAAATGAAAAAAGATAGAGTTTAATGTATATTTTCATCAGATAAAGACACATGAAGAGTAGTTTACTGCCACCAGAAAAAAAATTAGGATTACATCAAGTAATAGTCTTCTTGCAAACAGAGATACATTTTTCCACAAGCCAGGTACAGACACGCTGACCGCGGAACAGTCCCGCTCAAATTAGGACGTATGGCCACATTAGGCTAGCAAACAAAAACTTATTTCACTCACGCGTTCATGTCGATGAAACACAATATACCGTAATTTCGTTGTAACAGTAACAATAATTGACGTACATTATTTCATTTTATTCCAAGCAACTTTAACCCAATAATAAAAAGCTATTTGCCTTTCGATTGATAAAAAAAGTCCAAGTGGGAGTTGGACTCTCGCACTGAGGGTTCCGTCAGAGAAACGAACAATAAATCACGTTTGTTGTATGCGAGCGCCCATTATATATTTGATTTTAATTTAATTATTTATTTTAAAAGTTACTATATACGTCGTGCGTTCATAAGTTTTGAGACAAACTTTTTACTGAAAAAATAAATAAAATGTTACTGGCTGTTATTTTTTTCCCCGACTTTGAATTTGGAATGTTGACTTTTAGCTTATTTGTATTGTTAATTCATTTATTTATATTTTCTCGTGATGAAGGGAATGAAACAATTACGTGCAACTGTCATTTCGCTATTTAAGGCGGGAAAAAACTGATGCAGATTTTCCGCGAGATGAAGTTTTCCTGTAAGCCGTAACTTCGTCTGTTACACATTACAGCGGTACAAAGAGACAAGTTCTCTGGAAGATCGCCAAAGCTCTGTGAGGACGCCTGCGAACATCAAAATCATCCGAGAGCGACTTCGCTGAAATCCATGTCGCACTCGGAAGAAACTCACTCTGCAGTCTGATATTTTGCGCGTTTCAATTTTTTGTATTTGTTGTTGAAGCAACAGCAGAAATACTTAAGGTTAATGGCAGACAGGCAGCCAAGTCTTAGTAATAGGGTTCCCGTTTTACCCTTCGGGTACGGAACACTAAATTGTATTGTATTGATACAATACGGTGTCTGATAGTTGGTCACAGTTATTATAGCAGAAAATTAATTTGATATAGCCTAAAATTGAGTGCACTAAATGGACTGTGAATAATTAATGAAAGTTCTAGTTAGACTAAGACTTTCCTGCTACGGTATTTCGATTAAAAATAGATATTCGTTCGAATTTCTCCGTCTGAGTAAATACTTTGAGGACACATCTAAACGAACCTGCACTAATTGGCCAGCTGTGTTTATTCCAAATAAAGTTCTTTGTTTTCAATCACTTTTCATATACATGATTCATTGTTTTAACGATATGTATTCATGGGAAAATCCCAATACTACGTTGGGCGAACTTAATATTGAACATATAACTAAATATTTATAATTAACTGGGTCGTCGGTAATAATTCAATGGTCCATAAACTTTACTAAAATCTATCTTCAATACATCCATCCAAATATGCAGATAGTAAGCACATCAAATTACCACTAAATAGACCAATAAAACTTAAAGATCAAAACTTTAAGGTTCTAAATTCATTTGAGAGATTCATATTATAGAGAACAGTTTTATATTATATTTGTTGTCGACTGTACAAATATTGAACTAAACGAATTACAAATTCTTTATAATGTATTATTCTGTAGCCGTAAACTCATAAAGTATTCTCGTATAATCAATTTTTTTTTTTAATTAATCCTTTTGTTTGTCAGGTCAGAGCTCAAAAAATCCTTATCTAAGATACATAATTACTAAAAAAATATAATAAATAATATGTAATTGAACATAAAATCCATACTGGAATAGGTACCAACTGAATTGACATATTTTGTATATGAAATTTTTTACTAATGGTTTTCTAATAATGGCATAGCAAATAAGGGCAATACTATCTTGATATTAATCCTATTCTAAATAATAGTACCAGAGATAAATAGTGTTTCAAGTGTTGTATTCTATGAATTAGTGACAATCCCACTTTGCAAGTACTTTATGATGGGAAAAGTGCTAACACTGAAGCAGGGAAGTAGTTACTTACAATCATTGCCCATGCCCATATTTCATATCTTATTCAAAGTCTCGTAACTAGTAGGTATTTCCTATTAAGTATTATCTGCATGTAAAATGCACTAAATAAAGACTTATTAAATATTTCCTTGAAAGGTATGTATAAATAAATTATAAATAACAATAATAAATATCTATCTGTATCACTCAGCATTTATTATTTTTAGTAAATATATCGATAAGACAATGAATAGTAATGTGAATGACTCGTCACAGAATGATAAGATTGTCATACATATACATTAAAAATCATATCTTCACAATATCACAGGAACTTTGGTACTGAACAAACACACATATTGTGTTAAAATAATATCCGTAAAGCTTGAATAATTATTAATGGTCTACCAACATAATTTATGCACAAGCATAAGTTCATTTAGGAATAGAGATTTAAAAAAATTTTTTTTTTTTTAATCAATATAAAGGTTAGTTTTTATTCTATTTATTTAGCCTCTTTATACTACCAGTAGGTAGGCATTATGGTATAAATTACTATGTATTATCATCTAAGAGGTGTGTATTCTAAAACCATAATACTAACAAAACCTACCATAGTCTTACTCGACGCAGTTCGTTCGAAACCGAATACATGTATGTACGAATGCGCGATCAAATTCGACTGTTTTATTAGAGATCCGAATATCGAAACACTTTTTGAATAAAACATATTATATACGATACGTGGGATTTATCATGTACGCTTGAACGTTTATTTGTTTTGGTATATCTGGTCTATTCTGTTCTGTTCTGTTCGGTTCGGTTCAGTTCCGGTGCGTTATACATATATTACGCGCGTTTAGTAACGTGTACGCGAATAGTTTAATACAAAAAAATAATAAAGCATTTAATCACCGGCTTGTGAACGCTGCTCAACTTCTACAATGGCAGACCAGACGTACGCACTTTACCATCGAGCACTGACATTCATGAGATTCTGCGAAATCGCCCCTCGTCTTTCTCGACTCGATTGAACAGAAAATAGTTCGAGACGAAAGCAGATCGAGTGCACTACCGCTTATACATCTGACGCGATACCGCAGATCATTAGGACGCATGTAATTCAATATCGAGATCTGTGATCGACATCGACCACTGTACAATGTTATCAGTAAACACCTGCCATTCTCCATACATTTCCTTAATTTAAAAAATTATTAAAATTAATTTAAAAAGCTATTCGTACGATATCGCTCATCGCTGTTGAATTGCATTGCATCGCATGATGCGATTCGCATCGCATCGAGCCATGAGTAAGCGGCGTTAGACACAAAACCCACTAGTG